CTTCGGCGCTCGGAACGGTCCCCCTCTAGCAGTGGGAACGAACCCCCCCCATTCAAATCCTGGCTACGGGCATGTTAGTGCACCCAAAATTGTGCACCTAATTTTTTAGTGCACCCAAAATTGTGCACCTAATTTTTTTCTGCGGGTGCACCAGTGCAGCCAAATATTTTTGTAGGTATTTTTTACATATCAAATGTATAATAGTATACAGGATATTCTTCGCATCAAAGTGCCAGAAAAATAATAAAATCTAGTAATAAATAAGTAAGATTGTGTAAGATTTTGAAGTTAGCTCCCATTTTTAAAACTCAGAAGAGGAGCAGATCTCAACTATGTTTTGTTTTATATGGTGCACCAAAAATTTTTTGTGCAGGTAATTTTTTAGGTAAGGTGCACCAGTGCACCTACAGTATTCCCAAAAATGAATTTGGATTCCTGCCGAAAATCATAAAATATTAGCCATGGTTTTAGGTTTATAATTTTTGTAATGACCTTTCGCTGGGAAAATTATCGAACTGCGACACTTTAGTTGGTCCCAATGCTTCACTGTGAATTTAAAACTATGCAAATGCCCCCTATCCCCGATATATCGTAAAATTAACCCTCAGCAAATTGAGGTGAATTTACAGTAACATGACGTGTGAATATATGGGCCAATGTTGGGTCACTGATGTTGTATTTTGTGTACGCTGGGCTCAAAATACATTTTTGGGAATAGGTGCACTGTTGCACCCAACCTAAAGTAAAAAATTAGGTGCACAAAAAGTTTTTGGGTGCACCATATGAAACAAAACCTATATAATTGCAGGTCTTACTGCTCCTCTTCTGAGCTTGAATCTAAAATGAGAGCTAACTTCAAAATCTGCAACATTACTACAACAAGGATTTTATTATTTTTCTGATCCTTAGAGACCAAGAATATCTGGTATTCTACTATACATTCCTAATGTTGAAAATTCCTACAAAAATATTTGGTGCTTTTGGGTGCACTAAGGTGCACGTGCACCCAGTACAGTGTTCGAAATACCTGTCTGCAGTCTGCAATCTGCAGATAGATTTTCAAGATTGCAGAAGAAAAATTTATACAATCTGCAATTTTGCAGCTGCAGGAAAAATTGGCACTTGGGATTTGGTGCTCTTGGCCCCAAGGACATACAACTTAAGCTCCTGTTCTGAAACAACAGGAGCTTCTTCACGTATTTACATCAACCTTGTCTTGACTTGTTTATCTTTTGTTTCCTTTTGGACTTCCAAAAATTTGTCTTCACTAATTTGCATATCAATCAATAGTGCATGCTTATAAACCTGCAAGATTGTAGTATGGAGGCTTGTGTATTTGCAGAAAGTATTTCCACATTGCAGAACAAAATTTTGACTCTTCTGCAATATTGCAGAGCACTGAAAAAAAGTATTTCGACCACTGCAGTATTTCGAGCCCTTTGTACGTGTACAATGTACAAGTAAAAATCCTGCTGGCTTATGAAATTACTGCTTGTCCAACAATCCCAAAAATGTCAATTTATCCATTGGTGTCTCTGTTTATTTTCTGAATTGAAAAGACATGATTACTGATTACTGAGTGACTGATGTGTTGTAGAGATGTGTAGGTCCTTACCCTAAGTAAATTGTCTGGGTCTGTATGACTGTGTGTTTATTCAGTGCCCCCAGGGTTGTTTACATGTATCTCTGCGCAGGGGAAAGTCTGATGTTTACCCACATTCCAACATTAGGGTCAAATCCAGGACCAGAGAGCTTGTTTTTCCTGGGTTTTCCACAGCATATTTTCCATTTTTCTTTTATTTCTATTCTTTAGAATTCTGTCCCATTTGTTTTGCACTCAATATCTTTTATCTCTTGAAGGGAACTGCTGGTTTGCTTTGATGGTTGAAAGGAAATCCTGTTTTAGTGCAGATAAGCCCGTAGAGTAGACCCTGCGGAGGATGGATAGCAC